CGCTTGATTGTGCTGCGATCCCGCTTCAAAAGCTTGGGAATTTCCAAACTGCTGCACCCCTCTGAAAGACATCACCATTTTTGACTTTTCAGAGTCTGTCAAATTTCTTTTCTGACCCATTTTGCCAAAGGACATGAAGTTGCCTAAGAATAAAGCACACCTTATATAGGGTGTTGATGTCATTAGGCTACACCCCTTCTCATTACAGAGATGGACACCACCTGATTTACTTAATTGGTAGTTGGCTTTCAAGCCTATACAGCTTGGAGTAGGACAACATGTATGAGAAGGATGATGTGGTCGAAATACTCTTTTCCCTAATAATTCTGCACACACTGTAATAAACCTGGATGTGCAAGACAGAGCTGCATGTTTTTAATTATTAAGAATCAATATGTTCGGAAATCTTTTGAAGAGCAAACATGTTGAAGGAGAAGAAACCCGACTGTATTTTAGCTCTGATTCTCATTGTGTAGGTTATGCCGTTTGAAGCCATTATTTCCAGGATTCAGGATTTCCAGACTGTGTTTGTAAAATAGGTCTGTCAGCTCAACTCTACTTTAAATTAGAAATTATTTCTTAGGCTCAAAGTTGTCCAATATTTGAAGAGAATAGTGGAAACTAATAAAAAAGAACCCTACAGAGAAGAAAGGAAAAAAAGAAAGAAAAAAGAAAAACAGTATGCAAAGCTCAGACACTGGGAAAGACAAACACATAGCACAATTGTTTTGATTTAATTTTAGGACTTGATTGATGGGATTTTGAAATAGAGCAGCAGGTTTTCACTTTTTACTCTGAATAATACAGTTGCACCGCATTTTAAGAAGAAAAATAACAAGTATTTTATCACCCCATTAAATCACTGAATTCTGGTCTCATGGGTATAAAATCCTGCAAAGACCAGAGACTCTTCCGATTACACATTCGGAAAATAATGGGTCGCTATCAGTAGATCAGGTAAGTCTAACTTGTCTAGCCTGCGTAGTCTTATCAGCAATTAAAGAGATTTGGAGTGATGGCAATTTAGTCACAAAGTGGGAGACCATTTAAACTCATTGCTGATTATGAGGCAGAAAGTGAACAGTGCTGACAATGAAAAGATAATTAGTAGCCAGGTCAGTTAGACACATTAGATGTTAAAACACAAACATATGTCAAGAATCTGATTAATGAGCAGCATTAATTCACGGAGAATTAACAATTTACAGGTAGAGGGTTCTCAGACTGCGTATTGATGACCTCAATGTCTAGAAAGTTATCTTTAAAAGCGCTATTGTTTCACCTCCATCACATACATCCACAACAAGGCCGGCATCCACAACCTTATCCATCCCAATATTAGTAGCATTACTCAGATAAAGATATTTAATAAACTTGATATCAGTGAAAAAACATTGATGTTGGATAACAGCATTATAGAAAAAAATGCACAGTCAAACAGCAACTTATCTATAGTGTAATCTAAAAGACAGAATCAAAATGAGGAGGAACCCCATGAGATGATGCACAGGTCCTACCTGTTTGAACAACTTTTTATACTTCATCTTCGCCTGCTGAGTGGTTGTGTTTCTCCCCCGTGAGATTGCACAAAAATAGAATGCTATACGTTGATACACGTTCATTTAAGCAATATACTAGATTTTCCCTGAAATGTTACTGTGGTTACAAAGCTATGGCAGGCCATTTTGATATTTATCATTTTCTCTGAATAGTTGTTTATGTTGCCATACTGTAAATACATACAAAGTTAACACTTTAAACAAAATGACTTTATTTATTTCTGAAATAAAAAATTACGGATGTCTAGAAATTTACTTCAGATCAAATTCCGATTGTTACTGGCCATAATTTGTGTTATTTTGATCAGAAAGAAACCTTTTTCAGATATCATAAATCCATATTTAGTCAATCTGATAAATTTCAAAATGGCCACTGGCAATGTGTAAACATTTCTAGGTACCGGTATATAAATCCAAATTCTTACTAGTACATTGTGTTTTGTTTTTTTTACTTTTTTTTAATCAACTTTCTTCTGCAAAAATGTAAGTTAGAAAATCTGCTATTACAGTTCAATCTAGGAGTGTAAGTTTGGCCAGGAAAAATCCTATTTTAAGGGATCTACAAATGGAACAACAGAGAGGAAAGTGCTTTTATTAAATGTCAAAAACAGCATGCCATTGTGGACTTCACATACAGTTACGCAGCAATCTTTTACACAATCTTCCTCTGCTTTGCAGCTGAAGCGCTTTTTCTCTGTCTTTCAAACAAATTTTCCAATATTTCTTTTTTTTTTTCTGAACTAAAATCTAGTTCTAGAGCTTTGAAACAGACACTTTCTGTTACCTGTTGTCTATAAAGTCATTTTTGTGTTTTTATTAAATTCAAGAAAAAAAGTGATCAGAAAGGGGAAAATAATGTTAAAAGAAAAGTCTCACGTAAAAGTGCTCTAAATGTTTTCAGATCAAACCATTAAAAAAAAAAATTATTACCTGATATATATTTTTTTGAGATACTTTCACATCATCTTCTTCATGCATGGGTTCTTTCTGGGTACTCCAGCTTCCTCACACAGTCCAAAGATCCTGACTGTTAGGTTAATTAGCTTCTCCACATTGTCCTCAGGAGTGAGTGTGTGTGCATCCTTGTGCGTCTCTGTGTTGCCCAGCAATAGACTGGCGACCTGTCCATGATTTACCCCGGTTCCACCCCATAGACTACCGGATAAAGGCACCAGTCCGATCGTGACCCTAGAGGGGTCCCACTGATATAGCACAATTAGGTCCTTTTTCATTTCTTTTGTCTAGAAATTGGCAAGAACAAAAAAAGACAATTATATGATCAAAGATGAAAACCAAACACATGAACAAAAGCACTTAAAGCATTGCTAATAGATCTAATGAGAGAGTTAATTAGAAGAAGAAAAAATGCAAGCATGGAGGAATCAAACAAAGTTTTGTTTTTTTTGGGGAACAAAACAGTGATCCATTTATTCTAAATTATATAGAATCAATCTATTTGAATACTTATAGAAATTGTTTAAAAACTCCAAACTACCTTGGAACCAATCCTATAAGTGAACTACACCATCATCTAATACCTTGTACTCATTGCTATTCCTGACATTTTGAAGTGATAAAGCTTCCTGAATGGTAAGCGAAACATCTTCATACTTGGAAACGGAGTTCAGTGGATTGCTTTTAATTTTCCTTTTTAGGAATGACTATGACCTGGATGACTAGGAATATTCACCAGCATCATCTAATTTCATATAATAATTTTTTTTATTATTATTATTTGCCAATACAGGGATTTTTTTGGTCAGTTCTTATTCGGTAGTCAAGGTATTTCCTTATGACTTACTTTATTATGTTTTGGAGTATAGCATTGCACAGGTTGTACCTTCTCTAAAAAGCCAAAATCAGTTTGAAAAACAGTTATACTGTAGTTGGGGGAGTTTTGGTCTAGGGTTAGAGCAGAACCCTCTGAGAAGGGTACAAGTACCAAGTTCGATCCACACAAACTGCCACTCTGGGTCTCTGATCCACACTTCTCCCTAGGCGCTGCACAATGGCTGCCCACTGCTCCCCGAGGGGATGGGATAAAATGCAGAGCTACATTTCTCCAGTATGAGATCAATAAAGTTAAATTAAACTAAACTAAATTAAATACCGGAAGAAAAAAATCCAGTACTCGTCAAACCCTGATTCAAGAATACCTTGAAGCTTTCAATGGGCCAATGCCTATTCAGCACCTTTTTGACATCATGGGGGAGTGGTTGCCTAGTGTTAGGGCATTGCGCTTGTGTTCCAGAGGTTCTCAGTTAAAGCCCCACTCCCACAGACTGCTGCTCTGGGTCCCTGAGCAAGACCTGTAAGAGCCAATTTGAGACAAATCCTTTTATAGTTTTAAAAAGGTTTAAAATACAAGATTGATAATTTTGTTTGTTGTTAAGATTCTAATTTAAGTTTAAAAACTCTAATATTAAAAGCATAGAATATAGAAATGCAATTTGAAATGCATATTTTTTGGCTTCCTGCATGCTGTAATTGTATACGGGTTTTTTTTTTTTTTGCTTTTATGTACTGTACGTAAGGACTGAGGGGAATACAGATATGCTGGAAGCAACACAGTTTTTGACCGAGTTTATTTTATACGAATGTGGATGTTCTCTTATTTTTGTTTTCTTTTAATAAACATCACAAGTTGAAGATCATTATCTGGAATTGCTTGCGTTTCAATACTTGTTGCTAGACCGTTTTTCCATGCGGTACAGAAGAAACTAAAGGAGCTGGATTGCCGCTACAAGACCCTTAACCCCACACTGCTCCCTGGGTCCCACACAATGCAGCCCACTGCTCCCCAAGGGGATGGGTTAAATGCAGAGTAAATTTTGTTGCTTTGTATTTTTAACAGCGTAATGACAATAAAAGTTAAATTCATTCATTAAACCAAGTAATGGTGTAAATTGGGTTTACCTCCCTATCAATCTTGACAAGGTGTCCTACAATGTCTGATGATATTTTTCCAACATAGGTCATCGAAAGAGTTGATTGGAGGTACATCGAAAGCTACAGATATTATCCCTTCTCTTTTCTGATGATTATTTTTCCTCTTTTTTTTTTTGATGACCAACTTGTTGCCAATCTACCCTTAAATTACTTTTATTTAAAAGAAGAATGTGTCTAGTTAATCTGCTTGTAACTAATTAAATTGGAGCATTTCTGTCTGTTATGGATTAACCCGTTAACTTTCCCATCTGTATTTGGTTAGCAGCCTCATCCTGCCACACTAAGGCTTCTGTCTGCCATTACAGCAGCTTTATATGACAGGTTCGATCAACCCAAGGGTTCAAGAGTGGGAGCTGATTTCCTTTATGCTTTTTTAGGTGCTTTAAAATTGTTTTCTGTTGATTTTGATGTGACCAGTTAACAGAGGTGTTCTTCCACTGGCATTGTTATAATAATCTAGATCATCTATTAAAATAGTTCTACGGTTAACAGGTGTCTGACTTCCCAGAGGAGCAGCTTTTGGTGGCTATTTTCCCAGGAGTCCCAACAGCCGCCGAGCTCTTTCTGTTACCCAACAAGAACCAATCTGAGGGGAAGAAAAAGAGTGAGGAAGAGCTAGAAAAGGTGGGTATGGTCTTCCATTTGGAAAGTAGCCGGAAACCTTTCAGATTAAAAGCCTGATGGTGTAAAGGCGTTCTTTGTCACCCTGCAGGCGTCCAGCATCATCGTCAGCGCACTGAACCAAAACCTTGTGGAGTTCGAGCTGAAGCCTGGCGTCAGAGTCATCGTCTACAACACACAGTTAACGCTGGGTAATGAGGGTTCGGTTCTCCCTGCTTCCTATCCCATCATTAACTTGTCAACACTAATGTTGTCCTCTGGCAGTCGTCAATCCATTTGAGGTAGTTTCTATGTTGGAAGTGTCAAGGAACCGAACGGTAATAACCGTGTTTTGACAACAACACATTGTTTTTCCTTTGGTCTGCCAATTAAAATTCCTTTCAGTCAGCCTCCATCAGAAGGCGTGGGTACACAGGGGACCGTGGGAGGGGTGGGGTTTTAAGTGGAGCTGCTTGAGATGAGGGATCTTTTATGCCAGCCATCAAAAGCTGAACATCTGTTCTGTTTCTTATACCGCCATCCAACCACAAAATGAGTGTTACACCGTATAATTATGTTGATTATTTAGTCCTTGAGAAAGAACAGTGTACAATTTGAGGGCAGAAATGGAATTAGGAATTAAGAAGTTGTTGACTGCCTGAAAGGAGGAAGCTGGTTAACAGTTTTGACTCTTGAATGCAGCCTGTGTGAAGTCCTGGTTGATTTACAGAGATACAGACTTTAAATGGCCTGACTAGAAAACTCCTCCTGTCCCTTACTACTAGATAAATACACATTGTTTCTTTGCCTGGCTGGTTTTATTGGCAAAGCCACTTGTGACTCTCTGTAGATCAGAGTGCACAACTTTCACAGCTTGCTTCTCCTGCAGTGTGCTGCAACTCTAATGACATTGGTGCTGCACCCAGCTGGAGCTATCTTTATATTTCACCTCCCAAGAAAAGGTCTAAAAAGCCTTCAAGCAGCATGACAAAAGGTCGGCACATCGCACACTTCCATCTCCGAGTCGCAGGTCTCAGGAGAGCTCTGGAAGGCGTTGTTTCTCCCCCCTCTGAATGACAGAGGAGACAAACATTCCTGCAGTCATCAAAACAATGAGAAGAATTTAATGAGGGTGCCTCGTGAGATAAACCATGCACGCTGATATTAATATTCTAAAGTGCAAATGGGTTTTTGTATGAAACAACTGTGCATGAAAGAAATGTTTGAATCCAGTTGAAGTGTGTGAATTCCCTGCTGTTGTCACCTGTGCAGAGACAATTTCATGCTGCTCCACCTTCAGATGCTTCAGATATTAGAATAAATCCTAGCCACATAATGGCGTGTTGCCATGCAAATTAGCTGAGGCCACGTGAAGAGAGACTGATGTTAAAGAAAATCTGTGATCTTATTAAGCTATAGCACTTAAAGAGCAATAAACTGAAGGAGGACAGTTGTCAGTGCTCAGACCTTTTCCCGCTTGGTGTTAAAGTGGTTTCCCTTTCAGATTATAGAAAGTTTTGTTGTTTTTTTTTTTTCCTTTGGTGAATTGTTAAAGCAGGTTTAGCTGAATCTTTTTTGCAGTTTCAATAAACCCAAATTGTTCTGATTAATCGAGGGGAAAAAAATCATTAAACATTCAAACCACCAACAGAGTGGTGTTCCTCAGGGGTGCACCATGTCTAACCCCTTAAGCCTCATTATGAAGTTAAAGTTGTGCAAAAAAAGAAAAGGTACACGGTTGATAAATGCTCACACAAGCAGTTTTATTTAAAACACACACATAAAGTAATCTCCACATGCATTTAAAATGATTCATGCATGTAGATTCAATATCAGGAGGCCCCCAATTTATCACAACCATCAGTTTATGCTGTAAAGTGCCTTGAAATAACGTATTTTGAGAATTGTATGGCGACACTATTCTGCAAAATGTCCACACATCCAATAAAGACTTGGGGCAGCTCTATTTCATATAGACGCCCATTGACTCTTCTTCATGTGCACGTATATCATGTTACATGTACAAATAGTACCACGGGGCCCCAATATATCACACATGTGGGCTTGTTACTTCTCTGCGCATTTGTGGTTTGATATCCGCGCGCAGAGCCTCCCTCCTCGCATGTTGACCAGTTTTTGTTCGCTAATGTCAACTTTTGCCACTTTGAAGGCGTTAGGCACCGCACAAAGCTACCCACCTGTGATTGGCTACTTTTCAGGAAAGCCGGCATCTTGAGTTGTGACGCGTTTCCTAGGTAACCTGCGTTAACTGTCTTCCTTTTTTCCAGCTAACCTTTGAGGTAGCACAAACTACTGGGATATTTGACTGGAACTTTAATCCAGTCAAATATCCGAGTCTTATAATCCCTTTTAAACACCCTACAGCCAATCAGAATACAATATTCATCCAGACCATGTTGAGACAGTATTGTTTCCTTCCTAGCTACCAACATTAACAAATCATTTTCCGGCTGATCTCTTTTAAGGATTTTGTTTAAAATTCGGATATTTTCAGCATTAAAGTTACCAGTAGCTTAAAATGGGAATAAAATTGAAGCACAATCTGCATGTAAATTTACAACCAATTAAAGGAGGAAACGATGGGAAAGATGCCTTGTCTATTACTTGCACAGTTTCCCAGCCCCTATAAACCATCCAAGCTCCAACCTGACACATTCTGTTTGTGCTCCTAATTTATCCTTAATTTTTTGGCAACTGTTATGTCATGTATCATTAACTATAGAAATAAGGAGCCAATATTAGTAAGGAGTAAAGCATACAGATATTTAAGTAAAGTACAGATACAGAAGAAGCAACAGTATTTATACTTAGTTAATTAAAACCTCATGTCCAATTAATGGCACTTATTTACTTTTTAAAGGTGGTAAAATAGTCAGTTTTTAAATTCAATTCAATTTAGTTTATATAGAGCCAATTCACAGCACATGTCATCTCAAGGCACTTTAAAATTCACCAGATCATCCAGTCAAATTGATTGAAAGATTTCTATCTAAGGAAAACCAGTTTGATTGCATTGACTAATTCACTCCAATGCAATCGCTCACACCAAGCATGATTGTAGCGATAGTGGAGAGAAAAAACTCCCTTTTAACACAAAGAAACCTCCAGCAGAACTAGGCTCAGTGTGAGCGGCCATCTGCTGAGGCCAAGTGGGGAAAATGCTTTTACTGGTTGAAAATGATTTATACTTACCTGTGAATTGCTAAATATGGGTGAATTCCAGGACACGTCTGCATTGGTGCTGGGCAATTAAATACATTTGCAATATCATCGCAACTTAACTAAAGACAATTTTCAAATTTCAGAGATGCTTAGTTTTGGTCATATTACATTTAACAAGGATAAATAACAAGTAATAAGCTAAATTACTTTCCAGCCCTTTAGGTGGCTGTAATATGAAACCATACAGACAGGAAGAGAGAGATCATACAGCTAGCTCACAGATTCATGCCTGCAAGTAGAAGTTAGCACTTCTTCCACACAATGACCACAGTTAAGTCCTGCAACAAGGAAGCTTCCAAGTTCATGAAAAATCCTAAACTCTGTGGTCAAACATTTGCATGATTGTGGTTGGTGCAAAAGGAAAATTTCAGTTGTAATTTCTTTAAAATAATCACAATTTTCATTTTTGGCTAAATCGTTCAATCGTATCACTGTGGTCCTATTAAAGCATTTTGTTTTTCGCTAGCTCATTTTCTTTCATTCATTATCATGACTAAATCTAGGCCTTAGCCATCGCAGTGATTATAAAATGTATAAACTGGCTGGGTTCTTCTGCTCCCACAGCCCCGTTGGTGGACTCCAGTCCCAGACACAGCAGCTCCGCCATGCTCATGCTCCTCTCCGTGGTCTTCCTGGGTCTGGCTGTGTTCCTCATCTACAAATTTAAGAGGTTCGCAACTTTCTGTTTGCATCCACCCACTGTAGTCCCAGCAGGATCACATCAAGCTCCTACATGTCTATTAGGATGTTTTTCATTATTAATAGCAGCAGATTAACACAAGCTGAAACCATGAGCCACAGTCAGAGTCGCTGCTTTGATCTGAGAAAGTCCAGCTAAAGGTTGTCTTTACTTTTTAATGACTACAATGCATGAGGCACGCTCTGTAATCTGTTTAAAATGCAGAAAAAAAACGAGGCCCTTAAGTGGTTTGATATGCAGAGTTTCTGCTTTTATTTGCTGAATAAATGAATCAACCTCACAGTGAATCTGTGAAAAAACTCAGTGGGAATTGGAAAAAAGCTGCCATTAATTATGGAGCTGTAATTTCTCCTGTCAGTCAGCAGAGATGCGCTTTTCAACGGAATCATACAGTTGACAAAACAGAGTGATTAATAACAGGAATGAAGAATAATTGGAAATAAATTGGATAGTGCTTGAAATGAAGAGATATTAGATGTAAAATTCATGCAGAAAAAATGTCCAATATTACTGTTATTTTCTCATAAATAAGTAACAGAAATATTTCTACATTTAAGATTCATCTTAACCCTTGGCATGCAGCTATTTATTGCACACCAGACAGCAAAGCCCTGCATAAACAGACGATTGGATGGAAAAGTTATCTCTTCTGAATGGATTCTTCCTGTTTTGTAGAAAAATACCTTGGATCAATATTTACGCTGAGGTGAACCAGGAGAAGGAGCAGGAGATGATTGGCTCGGTCGGTCAAGGCGACACCACACCGAAAATCACTCTGAGCGAATTCACAGCATCCAAAGAGCTCATGGAGAAGGAACTGGATGCTCGGGTCAAGAGTAAGTCAAAGACAAACGACGGGAGGAGTTAAGTCTGCAGGGATGGTGGGATCCATCCCATAGAGATGATTTTCCCATCATTGGGATGTGATCCCGCAAGAATATGAAGGGTCAAAATATATAATTAAAGGCAAAGAATAAAGTTCCCATGAAAAAAGAAAGTTCATCCGAAATAGGAACAGAAGGTTATTTATTTATGTATTTATTATTAGTTTTATTTAATACATATTTCAAACTTTATTTATTCATTTATCATTATACACCAAACATAAAACAAAATACCATTCGATTGTAAAATGCACATTTAAATGACTAAATAAATCCCAATAAATATTAAAAAATACATTTGAAATTATGACTGAGATAATTAATTGTCCCATAAAATAGTTAAAATTATGCCAGATTAACTACCGGTACTTAAGATAAGACCAAAAAAATATAATTAGAATAATTAACTGTCCTATTAAATAAATAAATAAATATAAATTTCAAATGATTAAATGAAATTAAATGTCCAATTTAATAATTCAATATCAGTTAATATTATGAAAGATAATTAAATGTCCCCCCCACATAGTATAATATATATCTGGAAATGTGTTTGAGATTGAATTTACTGTTAAAATTTTCAAAACTTATTTAAATTTATGAATAAAGTCCATTAGAAAATGTATTACGCATTTGAAAATTATAATTCAAACATCTTAAAAATATATTTTACTCTCTCTCTCTCTCTCTCTCTCTCTCTCTCTCTCTCTCTCTCTCTATATATATATATATATATATATATATATATATATATATATATATATATATATATATATATATATATATATATATATATATATATATATTACATATTAATGAAAAGTAAAAATATATGATATATATTTAGTCACAGGCTGAAAGTTTTAGAGAAACGTCTGCCACAGAGAGAGATATAATAATCAGATCTCCTCCCAGGATATTTATTTGTTCAGAGAAAAATAAAGGAAAATAGGAAGTCTGAGAGTAAATATGTAATTTAATAAAATAGTCTTTATTATCTCCTTCTTTCCAGTGCTTCTCCTGAAAGGAGCTGTGCATTTTTTATTTATTAATTAGTCAAATTAAATTGGCTGAACACAGAAATCACATTAAGACCACTGACAGCTGAAGTAAATAACTCTGTTATCTCCCCATCGGCGCCTGTTTGTTGATCGGATATATTAGGCAGTGAGTGGACATTTTATCCTCCCTGTGGATGTGTTGTTATTGGCAAGAAAAAAATGGCAGTAGAGGATTTGAGAGGATTCGCTTAAGGCCAAAATCGAAGCTGTCGTGGGGTTTGTCAGTCTGCAGGGTTCAGGATGTTTTGATAGTAGGGGTGGAACGGTTCACAAAATCCACGGTTTGGTTCGGTTCACTGTTTCGTGGTCACGGTTTTCGGTTCGGTTCGGTATATGTTTATTGTTACACGGAAAAATAAAAAAATTCATAAAAATTATTAAAAAAATTAATGATTTTTTTAAATGAAATTAATGAAAAAATCCCAAAATATTATTGAATTGTAATTATTTTTTAATGATTCGCGGAAACCATGGATCATTTCCGCATGTTTTGCTGCTTTGTATTTAATCATCTCGCGCATGCCCTCTACAATCTCCAAGGGACTCAGAGCGGAGCTGACGGGAGCCACAGTGGAGGCTGTAGGCTTTGCTTTGAGCAGCCGGTCTGGAGCGCAGCGTGGCGGAGCGCTGACGGAGTATGTGGGATTTCGGGGTTAGCGTGACATGTTGGTCATGTTGCTGTTAGCATAAACAAAACGTGTTGCACAATGCTTGCACACTGTTGCACTTTAATCCACAACTTTCTTTCCGCCGTCATCGTAGGTCACTCTAAATGCAAAGCGGTCCCATACAGCAGACCTATAAAGTGCTGCTGGCGCGTCTTCCAACTCCTGTTCTTTCCCACTCGCCATACCCACACAATTCTCCACAACAACTGATTTTTTTCCCTGCTACACCCGGCTAAGCTGCTTTGCTTCTTCTTCTTCTTGTTTACTACTGGTGGTTGGCTTTGGTCGCAGTACCGCCACCTTCTGCTCTGGAGTGTAAACGCTTCGCCTATAAGGAAATGAAGCAGCGCATGAACCGAACGCAACACACGCGAACCGAACGGTTCGGACGGTTTTCATAAACCGTTCCATCCCTAATTGATAGGGTCTAAAACTTGAAGAGAACAGAAAACGGATAAAGTAAAGTCAGGTACGCAAAAAAAGTCGTATGTAACCGGTGTGTTCAGGCCTTTAGCTTGTAGAGCACTGGGGGTCACAGGTCAAACGTTTCACCCATCATGCTTACACCAATGGGGACCACCATGGAAGTTCGGTGCTTTATTACATGCTAGGCTGTTTCCATAAAGGAATCCTTCTCTGCCAAAGCACCGGTATGTCACATGACCAAATGAGCATATCTGATTGGCTTAATAACATATTTCAATTGTCTGATGAACTAATAGCACATATTTAATGCTGCTTTACATGGACTGTTTTCTAAAAGTAATAAAGGGACTTTCAACCTTCTCTTATAAAAAATTGAAGAATTCATTATAATTGGATATATTTTTTACTGCTAAAAAAGAACTTGAAATAAGTAAACATTTCTTTAACTATGTTCATATACCTTGACTCTAAATAGGTAAATAAGATGATTTGCCAATGGAATGATTATTGCTCTTAGAATAAGATAGTTAGATATTATGCCCTCGAAATAAGACAATGCAATTTTTTTCTTATTTTTAATGTAAATTGTCTTGGTCAAGGGTCTCACTTACCTCCTCAATACAAGAAAAAATTACTTATTTAGATCCTGATTTTGTGCGCTACATTTTCTCTGTGTTTCTTAAGCTTTAACGACCACAAAGCCTTATGATTTCATTTCGTTAAAAGCCTTTTGTTCTGGAAAAATCTAAGTCATTGAACTAATATCTCTTCTGATTTATTTTGTCTATGTTGTTCTTCCCAGGAGGAGTCGTAAATGCCTGCGAGAGCACAAGGGAGATTCCAAACTGTACCAGCGTGTAAAAGCTGAAGGTTGTGTAAAGAGCGGGGTATCGCAGTCCGCCGTTCTTCTCTCTTTCTGTTTTGTAATTATAAACACGACTGATGTTAATAGTTTTTCTAAAAAGCCTCATTTATACAGCCTTGCGTTGGATGCGTCGTTCGGCAGCATCCAACGCAGCGACGGCATCTCTGTAACTACCAACGAGACTTTTGGGTTTTGTGGATGTTATACGCTGCATTCATTTGCTGAGGGAAATATCTTTCGTGGATGAGTTCTGTACGTTTTCTCAAAAGTTTGCTTTGAAAATCATTTCTGCCTAAATGTAGACTCTAATGTCCAAGTCTTCAATCGAACAGGGAATATTACTGAAATGTATAGTATTATCTTTAGTTCTGTCCATGTAAATATTCTCTCTTTCTACACGCTGGTAGCCTCGTGGCGGCGACGGAAGTTCTGACGACGGTTTGTTTTTGAAGGTGTGTAAGACTTTACTTCAAAAAGAAGCATTTTGATTTGCTGACGTCCTCGACTCGTGCATGTTCCTACCGAGGACACCGTTTCCGTGTTGTAGATAAGCAAGTGTTGTAAATAGTTCTTTTCTAGACATTCGTCCAGCAAGACCAGTTGGTTCCGGCCCGCTTCTGTTTCTGCTTTCATTCTCTTCAGTTGCTGTTGGGTAAAATGTACCATGTTGAAACGGGTTGGCTTGTTGATGTTCAGCCGCCATTAACAGATTTACTCTGCAAACAAAGCAAGACAGATCGACATGTGGAGGACTATGTATATTATATTTATATTTTCAGTAGAAATATACTCCAGATAACCAGACATTTTAACTAGATAAGTGTCTTTCAACCAAACACCTTTAGCCACTGGCAACATCGCTTTACGTTTTGCCTCTCGTGGTCCTGATTTAATCTCAGAAAAAAGCATAAAATATCATATTGTGGTGACCAGTTGTACAGTTCACAGTATTTTAAGACAAATTTGGGAGAAATGGTGACATATTTGATATATATTGTTTAGATTTTGTTAGGTCATTTTGTTTTTCCCAAAATTTTTAACTTCTAACCCAGAAAGTGATAGTTGGATAAACTTATAACAGACATTTCTACCATGGAGAACAATAACATCTGAATTGATAAAGGCTGTAAAAGAGGAAGAAACCAAACACTAAAAGTCTTGTTTTTGCTTCACCACTTTAAATTTAAATGGAAATTATAAAAACTGTTGAACTAAAAAAATTAAAAAGCACAGCAGCGATGAAGCTTTCAAAATACTGACCATAAACCGGTTTAAAGAAAAGATTAAAGTCTATCTATTAAACCATACCAACACTAAGCATCCTTTATGTAATACAGATAAATTCTTTAATATCCTAATTAGAAACCAGACAGCCTCCAATCCTCCCAGGAATGGACATCCCAGCAGTTTCACCCAAAGTTCAGAGAAATGGCCCAAAAAAATCCAATAGCTTCATCTCAGACTCTGCAGGCCTCAAGTAGCTCTTTAGGTATGATGGACTCATGATGTTAAGAAAAACACTGAAGAAGTCTGGTTCGTGTTGAAAAGTTAAAGAAGAAATTCCTTCCTACAGAATACAGAAGTATTAGGATAGATGAGAGCAACATAGATATAACCTGTCATGATGCACCACACCATGTTTGGAGAAAAAATAACAAAGCCACCTTCTACCAACAGTCAAGCAGGGTAAAGAGGGGTAATTATCAGGGCTGGATCTGTTGCAACATACTTAATCTGAGCACATTGCAGTCAATAAAGTAACCAAGGAGCTCCCTGAGTGGGGAAGGATTCTAGAGTCATATCTTTCTGGCAACAAAACCTTGGCTGAAATCAAATAAACAGATTAAGGTTGCAAAACAAGGAGACAAAATTCATCCTCAAAAAAAGACCCATAAAGTCAGACAGAAAATTACTATTTCAAGTAACTTTTGCAAAATATGGTTTAATAAATCACTCATCGAAACAACACCTAAAGACATGCCCAGATTTTCATTCTATTTTGTTTTTAATTAAGTATCATACACCTTTATTTTCATTATGAAACAAATTAAATTGTTAAGATGCCTGGTTCAGAAATCTCAAATAACAGGCAGACAACATTGAAATAAAACATTAATAGGAATAAGCAACCTTAAAAGGAAAAACATTAAATATAAAGCATCCTTAGAGAAAAATTGGGAGACGCTTCCAATTATTTTAATTTTTAAATAGAGCATATTTAAAGAAGTCATAAATTGTATTCAGGAAACACACAGCTAGGCAGACGAGCTCTGAGCCAGCTCCCATGCCAGAGGATAAAGAGAGCACATCCAGCCAGTCACAGTAAGAGAAACAGGACTACACTGATATTTCTCTCTAGGATGGAGTCACAACTAAACAGAAACAGACCAGTAAAAGTTACTACAAGAAAAAGAGATTGAACTAACAAATTCAGCACAACGATAGAATAGAGAAAGAATGAAGCAGATTTATGAAAACTTGTCCCTATGTTCTCAACCAGTCTAATCCTATTGCAGCATATTTATAGATTTGCTCAGGATAACCTGGGCCACTCTAACTATAAGCTTTATCATAAGGTTTTAAGCCTAAAAGTAGACAGGGTGTCTGCCTCATGGACTAAAACTGGTAGTTGGTTCCACAGGAGAGGAGCCTGATCTGACAGACTCCCATTCTACTTTTAGAAATTCTAGGAACCACTAGTAAACCGAGAGCGAAGTGCTCTGTTAGAAACATAAGGAACAATCAGATCTCTGATATCAGATGGAGCTTGGCCATTTAAGGCTTTATATGTGAGAAGGAGGATTTTAAATTCTATTCTGGATTTAACAGGAAGCCAATGAAGAGAAGCCAGGATAGGAGAGATATGATCTCTATTTTTAATATATATTAGAACTCTGGCTGCAGCATTTTGGATCAGCTTAAGGCTTTTAACTAAAGTTTGTGGACTTCCTGATAGTAAAGAATTACAATAGTCCAGCCTTGAAGTAACAAATGCATGGACTAGTTTCTCAGCATCACCCCTGGACAGAATATTTCATTTTTTTTGCAATATTCCACAGATGAAAGAAAGAAATTCTAGAAACAAACTTTTATATGGGATTTAAATGAGAGGTCCTGATCAAAAATAATACAAAACATGTAATGGCCACTGGTTCCTTTTATTTTGCAAACTGACGGTAGAGCACCTAAAATGAACAAAATCTACCATTTCAAACACATTTATGTAGGTACATTTATTGCACATATAGAGCACAGCAGTTGGTGCATTATTGAGACCCAGCATTGTTAATAAAACTTTAGATGAAGCAACATTTTCCTTTCAGTCTGTAATTCTCCGCAGTGATTTCCCTCGCCAAGCATCAAGAACGCAATAAGAGACAAAGCTGGACAGCTAAGCCAAAGATACAGCAAGCACAGTTTCCCGACAAGCTCATGTAAACATCTGATGAGAGTACCCGGCACAGAGATATAGGCTGTCACATCACATATGCATTAACTCAAACAGAGCGCTCTCATCTGCAACCAAACGGCCATACTGGTATCTGCTGCTGCATACAGAGCACACAGAACAAAGAGTATTTCCAGCTTTGTTGTATTCACCGATTGTTAAGGCTGAGAGTCGTTTGTTTGGGTGGATTTTTGTTCTGATTGCAGCGTTGATCTGATCTGATTGATGTCATCAAAATGAGATTGGGAGGAAAACACACAACAAGGAGGTTTAGGAAAAACGAAGCACGGTTAGTGTAGAAAATGGAATCCCGTATTAAAGAGAAAAATATAACTCTTCTTTTTCTTTCTTTAATCCAGCTAATCGAGGTTTTAGGAAAAAAATTGTCGATTAATTAAAATAGATATAGAAATCAAGTTAATGCATTTCTGATCTGAATCGCTTTTGTGTTTTAAATAAGCAGTCAAGCGTCACTAACCAGATCGGTTATTAGTTTATTTTAAATAGAATTTATACTTATGAATGGTTAACCATTTACAACCAGGATTAGTGGAATAAGTAAGGATACACCATTACACCAAAAGAACAGTGAGGATTCCAGTAGTTCAAGGAATTTATGCTGTGTGCAGAAAGAACAGATGTCACTTAAATAGGTAAATGTATCTGCAGCAAATTTCACACCTGAGTCTCAAAAGATCTTAAATGGTTTAAAATAAAAGCCAGAACAAGTAAATGTTTCTTATAAATACATAAATAAAAGTAGACAGAAAATTTCATAATGAGTGTTCAATTACCAATCATTGAAAGATGTTATTGCCATCAATAAACTAAATAAGTTCAAATGAGTTCTTGAGGTAGAATTGTTGACATTCTTCAGTTCATTAGATCAGCTTCTGTGATGCACTGAGGGAATGTCCATATGGATGATCTATAGCAAATAGATGTGTAAAATTTGTCTTTGATCAAATTCAAATCAATCAAATTTAACTTTATCCAGTAATGAATAATTACCATTTATGTAAGACGATTGAAATGTCTATGAAAATGAGTGGGGGTATGGGGACGCAACGCTTCTGTTGTCAGGCAACTGATAGCTTAGTGTCTAACACAGCTAATCCACAGCTAGTAATAGGTCACAAAATGGCTCCTTTTTTATACGTTAGCAGCTAGGCTGGGGTGGTGACCACAGTCCAGGAACCATGTGATATCCGGCCATATTGAAACCAGATCTTAAAACTATCTTTGGGCTGGAAACCAAGCTGCCTTCCACAAGATGGCCGATCAGTAGACGTATTCGAGTGGCTGCTTGTATAACAAATGGAAGTCAGACTGAAAGTATGGACACATGGACCAACAAGATGGAATAAAAGAGAAACATACTCCAAAGATGGAAAAAGCACAACTTTATGACGGCTGTAACTTGAAGACACAAACTGTAAATGAACCTCAGCAAAATAGTTCAGGATCCCTTTATGATAAACAAATGTGCACATCTAACTACTAGTTCTACTTGTCCAGGATAATAGTAGGAGATTCTTACAGTAATTTGCTGCTGTCCTAAAGGGGGGAAAGAATGGACTTAAGTCTGGTTCCATGTTGGCGATTGTTCTTGGGTACCTTCACTCCAGCGGGTCTGGATCCTATATCCGCCTCTGCCACCCGGAAAGCTAAGAGCCAGTCCAATTCAGCACAGATGATATCACAGAATCCTGAACATTTTGGATAACTTAGGAAGCGTTTAAGAGATACACTCAGCTAAGTGGGGGGGGGTTGCTGCTGCTCACAGGAGTGATGACAGTCACAGCAGTTTGGCGGGTTCTGGTAGATTTAAAGGTGCCGGGAGAGCGCAAGTCAGGAAGTGATATCAGAGGCTGTGTCAAAACACAGCCATAACCCGATCACTAACATGGAAGTTCCAATTCTGATCCGTAACAGCATAACACTTTTGATATTTAATTTTAGACAGTGTAATATACTAACCTTATTTATTGTTTGGTTTTGCTTCTGAAATATTTTTGCATCTGAAGTGAAATGCACATAAAGACTCTCTCTTTGGTGTAGAACCTACAGTATGTGTGTATTTAGTTAATTTGGGTATATGTTGTAGAAATGAGGTCCCCGATGATCCTTGGGCTGGTTTCCCAAATCTGAGAAAACATACCAGAAAAAAGCTACAACTATAAAACAACAATCTAATGCTGAATTAATTAGTAACACTTCACTTTTGAACAGAGTTTGAATTAAGTAACATTGCTAATATTGTCATACAGTACTAAGCATGCTTCCTATGCTGGGTCCTTAAGAGCCATCTTGGCAAACCCTTATGGGTTAATTTTGCTGGTTTTATTGGTTGAAATTGAGACTCTCAGAGGGATGCTTTAATGATGTGCTAGCAGCAATGCTAGATGGCTCTGCTTCATTTAACTTAGACAAACTTGATTTTCAAATGAAATTTTGCTGCATAGAGCTCACAATAGTTGTAATGGTATGGCAGTTGGACTAACATAATCATTAGCAATATAAGTGCAGAAGTGATCAGAATGTAAACAATGTAGGAGATAGAAGAAAAAAGTTTAAATAATGGTGCAAAAAGGTATTAATATGAATAAGTTCGGGGCAGTGCAAAACTAAATATGATGCAAATGCAGGAGAACATTTGAATTGTTTTCTATTTAAAGGATTTTAAAAGTTTCAGGCACCTTGGTGGTGCAAAATAATGATGCAAGTGTGCTGCAAAGTCCAGTTGGGAGTTCAAAAGTCTGATGGTAGCGAGGAAAAAGCTGTTGCAGAACCTGCTGGTCCTGTGGCAGATGCAGCGAAGCCTCTTCCCAGAGGGCAGCAGAGAGAACAACAATAACTGTTAACAATAACTGCGGCTAGGCTAACGTTATTGTTCAATCTTAGTGCATTTTAATAGGCCGTTTAATTAATAACTGTTTGTCAACTGACTCCATAATGTAGTTTGAATACTGTATATTCACACCACAGTTTAGTGCACAACATGCTTTGAAATGTTATAAAATATACAATAATATAAACATACCAGTAAGTTAGCAGTTTATTGGTAGACCAACCAGATTGGCTTTAGTTCAATAGAAAACTTTCTCAGGTAAAACAGACATGTGGAATATTTATTGCATACCGGTATATGTGCTGGGCTGTTATACCTGTTCATGGGTTGCAAGAGGTGGTTTACTCAACACTCAAAACAAAACTGTTATTTATTTAAATTATTTGATAGGTACAGAATAAGAAGCCTTGTTATAATAACATGTTTATAGGTAATTTAGCTAACCCTTGTACATGAAAAACACATCAACACATAAAGTATAAAATATAATGTTCCCATTTGTTTAAAGAAAGAGGTTTTAGTTCAGCATGTATGGTTTTCCAGACATGCTCTGTCCAAATTATGTTCGGCATCGAACTGATCCAAAGTTTCTGTTTACTGCCTCCCTACAGTTGAACCAGGATTGTGACACTTCTGAACTATACATTTTACAATTTCAGG